TTTATTTTATACATACTGAGATTTTCTTGTGCAATCTTACTATATGAAAACTTGTTTCGCGCTGCTTTTTGGCCAATCAGTGACGCGAAACGACTTTTTCACACGTGAAGAAAACGTTTCAACCAATCACAAAGCTTCGGGTTTGGCGAACCGCGGTAGCTTTGCATCCAGATATAACTTGTGAGTTTAAAATCTCTCTATCATCAAAAATGGCTAGTAGATTTGCGTCTTTAGATAAAAGCATCGACTCTTTTATCCAGGAGCAAACAAATAGAAACACGTTGTCAAAAACACGAAGGGATATTGGTTTACTTAACGAGTTTTTACAAAACAAAGGTGAAGAGAGAATCCTAGAGCAAATTCCACCTTCCGAGCTGAACAACTATATCAGTGAATTCATTGTTGTTGTGAGAAGAAAAGATGGCGAAGAGTTTGAACCTTCTAGTCTTCGTGGACTAATCTGTAGTTTCAACCGATATCTTAAAACTAAAGGATATCCTGCGAATATCATTGAAGACAAAGAGTTCGAGCAAGTAAGAGCTGCTCTCAAAGCAAAAAGCAAAGAACTGAAAAAAACTGGCAAAGGAAACAAGCCAAACGCTGCTGAAGCTATTACTGACGATGAAATTTCTGTTTTGTACGAAAAGGAACTACTTGGTATTTCAAATGCCGAGGCTTTGATCAACACAATTTGGTACATGAACACGATTCATTTTGGACTACGAGCATGCGATGAACATCGACAAATGAAATGGGGAGATGTTCAACTCAAAACAGATACGGATGGAACTGAATATTTAGAATATTCCGAAAGACAGACAAAAACTAGAACGGGTGAGGATCCCCGAAATATCAGACCAGTAAAGCCGAAAGCATTTGCAACACAAACCCACAAGCCCGACAAAAATCCCGTGTTTGTTTATAAACTTTACGCAGAGAAAAGACCTTTGTCAATGCAAGACCCAGATGCACCGTTTTACCTTGGAATAAACCATGTGAAAGACTCTTCAAAAACTATCAAGCCTTGGTTTAAAACAGCTCCGATGGGAGTCAATAAATTGAGCAGTTTAATGAGAACAATGTCAGAAAAAGCTGGACTTGATGCTGATCGCCGACTAACAAATCACAGCGCTCGGAAAACTATGGTCCAAAAGCTGAATGATAATAACATTCCCCCTACACATATAATGCAGCTATCTGGACACCGGAATGTACAGAGTATTAACAATTATAGCAACATAACTAAAGAACAGCAAAAAAACATGTCAACGATTTTGAGTGCTCAAAGTACAAACATGTCAACAAGCGCTTCGCTTGTTCAGCGACCCGTGAAGACTACTTTGTCGGCAGAAACCCGTGAAGTTTCGCTCAGCACCAAATCAAGTTTTATCCCAACAGGTCCATTTTGTGGAGACACTATAAATGGTGGGGAATTCCACATAACCATAAACTCTGAAAAAAAATCACCTAAGTTGCATGAAAACTCTTTTGCGACACAACGTAATTTCAAGCGTATCAAGCGTGTCTTCGAATCGTCCGATGAAGAGAGCCCGCCAATTGTTTAAAAAAAACTATATTYATTTCTTTGTCCTATTTTGACTTTAACCGAAAATAGTATTGATATTATGACTTATAAACTTTACTTTGTAAAGGATGAGCATGTTAAATTGCTTTTGAACATTCAATTCAGCTTTTTGTTTATTTTGTTACAAGCTCTTTACTAGAATTTATTGTTATGCTTGGTTAGCTGTACTTTTCAGAGTATTCTCAGACTTTTGTAAAAAAGACTCTAATAAATATTTTCAAGAAAATCTCAGTATGTATAAAATAAACAAATTTCAGAATGGAAAGTCCTTTGTACGAGATTTACGCACTCGTTAGGCTTGTATCAGAAACCTCACTCGTTCGCTACGCTCACTCGTTCGGTTTCTGATACAAGCCTAACTCGTGCGTAAATCCCGTACGGCAGGACTTTCCATTAAGAAATCTATATTTTCTCCATCTTACCCATGGGTAAACTAAGCAACAGTGAAATCATTCTTATCATCGTCCGCAATAACACGGTCACCTCTTTTGTTTCATTCTACATTGGCATAACCAGAAGAACAGGCGTCTAATGGTACGTATATCAATCGAGTTTCTCGACATTACACTGGAAAAAATTGCGCACTTTAAAATTTACATCAAATTTAAGCATCAAATTTACATCTTACATCCTTTTGGACACTTACATGATATTTACATCAAATTTACAACATTTTGAAGTGAACGTTGTTTTCCTGCGTTACTCAATGATTAAGATGAAGAAGAGTGAAATCATTCTTATTATAATCTGCAATAACATGTTACCTTTTTTGTTTCATTCTATATTGGCATAACCAGCAGAACAGGCGTCTAATGGTACGTATATAAGTCGAGTTTCTCGACATTACTCGATGATTAAGATAAAGAAGAGTGAAATTATTCTTATCCATGCATAGCTTTTCATTCTAAAATATAGTACATACATATATTTAAGATGATCCATTGAAGGGACATGGTCCACCAGCATTCAATGCGGTCGTGTTTTAGATTTCTCATGTATGGAAAATGAGGAGACTTCGAATATCCATTCGCAAACCGTTTCCATCCATCGGTTTAAAGCTCGAATCTTACAGTATCTCCATTCATATGGTATAAAAGAATAATAGAAATAGAGTTTTTGCTAATATTACGATGTTTTTATATTTTCAAACGAGAGCAATAGTTCGAAAGAGATACTGGTGGACTATGTCACTTTAAGTGACAGGGCATTTCAAAGATTAACCGGGAAATTTTTATTATAACTGAGTGATTTTTTTTTACCAGTTGCAGTGTCGTCGAGCCCAGAGGCCGGCTGTTTGCCGTGTTTGCCGGCACCCTTGAACTTGAAACGTAAAGGAAGGTATTCAACAATCATGACCACATTGAAAACTTGTTGTACTGTTTGCTTAATCATGTATTTTATTCTTTTCAGATTCGAATGGCTAGCTGCAAAATTTCGCAGAAAAAAATAAAAAAATTAGTTAAATTTCTGCTCTAACCCTCGGAGCTCATGCGTTTGCATCGGTCGAGGACTACGTTTCCAGAATCTTTTTCCCATGTGGTTTTCTGTCTGGTTTTTCGTAGCGGGCAACGCATTCTTTCTCACTACTTTTACTTTTAATAAAATAATTACAATTTCACATATTTTGTGTAATTTGGGCGCCGCTACGTTGACTTGGGAAATTCTAGTGACTTCACATGCAGATTCGGTGACTACGGATTGTGATCCTATTATAATTCACCTTTATGTAAGAGTTACCGAGAACGGAGGTATATAAACCATATCCAACCCGAGGGCCGTAGGCTTGATGAATGTATATGGCTTATAGCCGATGTTTGTGGTAATTGACTGAATGGTTATGTACTTCTGCTAAGTACTTAATGTCCTTAATTGTGATATGATTTTCTCAGAACATCAATGCAAAATAGCATTCACTGAATTCGCCCCCAAAAATGGTTGTTTTTTTCATTTCTATTCAACGGTGAAGTTAAAGAACCCTTTTATTTACAACGAAGTGAAGTAGTTTTCGTTGCTCAATTCCAATTGCTTTTTACATTAGCATATAGTGGTATAGGACGTTAATGGTGTTCAGTAGGTCAACTGTTAGAATCCAATTGAGAGGAGAGTTTATCAGTCGGATTTTTTTCAGCTGTTCGTTCATTGATTTCGGTGCGCTCCTACTTATAAATTATTTTTTGTTTTTGCCTTTGGAAATTCAGTGGGGATAAATCTCCCAATGGTATGCAAGATCATCTTGGGATTTTTTGGTAAGTATTTACATTGGTCACATTGTTATAGGTTTTATCATACCCTTGGTGTTCCCTTGGAGCCGTTTGCCAAACTTTAGAAGAGTTTCTATTATGATCGTTATCGCTATTGTAGTGATCTGTAGTCTTACGGAAGATGCTCACAGTTTATTGGCATATGTTTCTGAAAAAGTTCTATTTGCCAATGTCTATTTTCTGCTACATATATTCTGAATAAGGTAAGTTTACGAATTATGAACATTTACCATTTTCGATGAATAAATGTATATGTCAACTATTATGATGTTTGACTATTATGATGTTTGTTGAGGGGTCATACACACGTACAATTGGATAGAATTATTAGTGTACACCCTGTTTTCACACTTATTCCAACTTGTAAGTAGTGTTTAAAAAACGAGCAGGAGTGCTTTATCGGGAGATATAGACACGAGGCCGAAGGCCGAGTGTCTATATCGCCGATAAAGCACGACTGCGAGTTTTTTATACTACCTCTCCAACATCCAGAAATTGTTATCATTTTAGAAAAAAGCTAAAAAATGCGAAAACAGAGATTATGCATGTTAAACTTCTACTGAGCATGTGCATTTGTCACAAATGAAAGAATTTTGATCCCACACGTAAGAACGGCTAGTCTATGCTATGCTGCATATCTGCACATTGATTCAAACTGATTTAAAACCTAGCAAAGGTCTATGATGCGACATTAAAACTGAGACCTTTGCTAGTGTATATGATGTAAGTGTCCAAAATGATGTAAATGATTTCCATCAAATTTACAACCTTTATGGTGCGCGATTTATTCCAGTGTGTCAAGCATTGATGTATACATTAATCAAGTCATGAAGGTCTTTATGGGACAGCCATGTGTTCATATTGGATCTCTTTGAGGACTTCAGTTAGTATATAGACTGCTGGCTCGAGGATTTCAAGGAAGTTCTACTCCATTGATGGCTTCTGCCAATTTTTTCCTGGAAAATTAAGTGGATGTGGTTATGGTTCAGAAGGATGAAAAAGCTAAGTATAAGCTCGTCATGATTGCATTATCATTTGTCTTAGCGATTTGGTGAGATCTCAGCTTTTAGAGTTTTTATTGGCCAGGATTGTGGATATTGTGGTTGTCTGTGACTGCTGTAAGCTTCTATCTCTCATCATTGTTCTATCTTTCTACAGCCCTTCAACGAATTGGAAGAGAGAGAGTTCTTGGTTAAGTACTGCTAGACGGTAGGATGACATATCGCGCCTGCAAGGAAACAGCGACCCTGGTGCAGTGAATTCATCTCTAAAAAGCGACTCCTCCTCCGCTTCATGATCGACTTGGGTCCACCCTACAACTCAGTTAAAGATTCGTGGAAGTGTTGCAAGCTCAACACAAGCAAAACCATTACCAAAAGGACAATATGAAGGAACTAATCTCATATCAAGAACGAGCATTTGAAGATTACAAGGACCAACAACCTAAGCCTCATGGGTGTTTATGAAGACTGATAGCATAGACATTTTTCGTCCTGGCCGAAATGCCAAGGCCTTAATTTATTTGAGTAAAGATATTATTAGAAATGCAGCATTGCTAGTAATTTCATAACCGTTCCCAAAGGTTCAAGGGCGTCATTGATAGGGCTGGGATGTTTCCTCTTTTATAATTCATACGATACAAAGCGAGTGCTTTGGGTTTTTTCCATCCCAGTCCTTCTAACTCGTTCACGCCCATGTTGTCGTTCGTCTAGAAAGTAGGATTAACTCCGAAGGATTAACGTCCGAAATGTCAGTAAGTTATTTCACCTACTTAACGGTGTTGAATTTATCTTTTTACACAACTGTTTCTTTAGAAACATCGACGCAGCTCACACTAGTTTACCGCTAGTTCCCACCATTTAGAAAGTAACTTACTGAGTGCAGACGTTTTCTAAAAAGATTCTCAATTGAAATGTAAATCATACAGTAATCATCAATTAACAGAGCTTGTAAATACTTAGTGCTTGAATAAACCTAAGCGTTCTCAAGATTAACACGATTGGTTTTATGTATACTAAGGGTTATATCTGTACATAGCCTGGGCTCATATCTAGCCCTATAATTCGTATTTTCAGGGAAATATGAACTATACCGCACCCAAATATTGACAATGAAATAAGCAGTTATGCTTGCAAAAAGTGACAATGGTAACTTGTGTATAAATGAAGTTTACAAGCCTTCCTTTTCTTAAATTTAAATCGGATTCTTACTATCCGGACTGCAATTTTCAATATTTTCAGTTGTTGTTTTTAAGTAACTTAACTTTAGAGTATTGTTTTTGAACCGCTTTGCATTCGTGCAAATGAGTTTTTAAAAGATCGGATTAAGTTAGGCTATCACTAAAACTTGTACTTACCAGTTCCTTTCAGAGTTTTGGAAGGCATTTCCTAACCTCATATCAACGTCGCCATATCGAGATTATACTAACAAATTCTGTCGATATAAATCATATCCCCGTATGAAATTAGACTTATTCTGAAGTACAAAAACATGGTGAGTTGTGGTGTAAAACATAACCTTGTTTTTACTATGGCTCTTTGGAGACAGGGAACGATGTACCCCTTGTCGCAGGTTTCATGAGGATATTCTGTTTTTGATGGAAAATACCCCGAGTTATCTGCTGAAAAAAAACCCGTAAAAACCAAATAATTCATTAGAGTGATCACACGTAATCCGTGCAACTGTACAAACTAAATAGTTCTATTTAATTGTGTTTAGTAAATCGTGCATGGGGTACGCAAATTATAAATTGAATTCATGCAAATGAAACATTCAATACCGTCTTGCTTCAGGTTCACCTTTAGTACAAATTAGTACTACTTAGATTTTGTTCAGTTGCACGGATTAAGTGCGTCTTTATTTGATGAGAACGACGACTATCTTCTCGCGAGTGAATACCACCATCATACCCACATTGACTTTCGAACGTTCTCTCCGACAACCTTTTTTGAAACCTATCATTATTTATCGCTAGAGGTGGTGCGGAGGAATTCACCCTTTCAAAAAGGAAGATGGGTAAGGGGAGGAGTTTAAAAAGAAAAAAAATATGCTAAATTGTTTCTTATCTAATTTCTTTTCATAGAGCTAATTTGGGTATACACCCATTTCATGTAGAAACTAACCAGAGAAAACAACCAAAGCTGCTTATGAGGATGCCTAGTCTTTGATATTTTCCCTCGGTATTTTAGCCCTCCAGTCCCTAATATCCTGTGAACTATGATATAACACAGTTTCCGTGCAGAGTATCTAACTTTTCAAGGACCAAAATTGTATTTTCAAGGAGCATCAAAATCATGGTAATTGTAGTATTATTATGCTTACATAATTTTGTTTATAGTGCTTTTAAAAATTGACTTTGTGATTTAATATTATCTAAGGTCTAGAAATATATTAACACAGTGGAAACACTAATAAATTTATTTTGACATAATAATATTGTTAAGTAGTTGTGTGTGTAAATTTGTTTTCATTTGTTTTATCAGAGCAAAAGTGCTGTCATATCAATATCATATCAGTAGTACTGATTTATGAGTCTAATGCTTGCACTCAACAAAAGGCATTTTCTAGATTTAAACTATAATATTATTTTTGTTATTTATCTAAGATTTTTTGCTTATATCGCCTAAAATCGCTTAAAGTAGCACTAAAACTTTGAGTAAAACGCCTTAAAGGTCCTTAAAATTTTACTCGAAACCAGGCCATATTTTCTTAAATCGCATTAAATCGCCTTAAATTGCCATATGTCGTAGTATAATATGTCGATTTAAGGTTCCGCGGTAGGCCTGAAATACAAACTTTATCGCCTTTGGAACACAAAGCGAAGTTTGACGCTGTTGTTAATTTATTCAAATCATATGAAGAACTATGTTTTATCTGCTTACAAAGTCTTCCCATACAGGAAAGACAAGTAACCATTTCTTGTTATAAACAGGAGTATGAAAGATTTAAAAATTTTAACGAACAATTTGTTTTAAACGGTCATGAAGCCGCAAAGCCCTTTGACCAAAGCTCAACGACTAGTCTTCCTGAACTACGAGAGCCAAGGAGACCACAATTTACTTATCCAGCATCGGCGAGCATAGCCCAYCTTCCTACTCAACGAAAAAGCGATATGCACATCGGCGATCCCTCACCGAACAGCGGAATCGATCCAATCGGCCGTCGTACAAACCTACCAAGTCAACGTGACGACGTTTCAAGCAATAAGAGTGAACCTAGTGGWCGCCGAAGTTTGCTATTGGCTCAATTAAAGGGCAAGCAACTCGAAGAGGAACAAGAGTTGATGGACGCTGAACGAGAATTGGAAACAAAACGATTCCAAATGCGGAGAAAATTGCTCAAGGCCAAGATTGAAGCGGGAAAAGCAGAACTTTTGACCAAGATCGAAGATGAAGAATGTGATAAAAGATCAAGCTCTTTACAAGATGTGCCTAAACAGAGTACAGCCGAAAAGGTGGGACAGTACTTACDGTCCATGAAGTGCAACTTGCCTGAAGTTGACGTCCAATCTGTGGCTTCCTCTTGCTGGCCACGCCCTCCGATAAAGCAAGAACCTACGCCACAAAAACAGCAATCAACATCCAAATACGCCCCTAACACAATGTTTCCAAATGCGACTGGTCCAGACTATCAGCTCTATGAAGTACAGCAAACACTAAACCTACTTACAGCTGGTCTAGAGAAACTTGAAATGCCTAAGAGAGAATTTCTCACGTTTGACGGAGACCCTACGAGATATCACAGATTCATCAGGAATTTTGAAGTAAATGTTGAAGACAGAGTCAAGGACAACAACATTAGGCTTTCATACCTCATCCAGTATTGCACAGGCGTCGCCAAAGAAGCTATTGAAAATTGTGTCATTCTATCCCCTGACACTGGATATCGTGAAGCCCGCAAGATACTGCGCAACAACTTTGGACAGCGACACAACATTGTCCGCGCCTTTGTTAACAAGGTAACCGAAGGTCCACAGCTAAWGGCTTATGAGACGGAGAAACTGATGCAGATGGCACGTGATATGAGGAATTGCGAGCTCAATTCCTTACAGATGGGATACAAGTCCGACATAAATTCAATGGAGACTCTGAAGAGAGTAGTGAAGCGTCTTCCCGTGCGCTTACAGGCCAAATGGGCTGAAGTATCTGGACAAATTATTAGTACAGGTGTTGATCCGGAGTTCGCCAACCTCACAGACTTCATAGAGAGACGAGCAGCGATCGCAAATACCGAGTTTGGAAGGCTCATCGGGTCTAAGCCAGAAGAGAGAAATAGAGAACTCAACAAGCCGAATCCCAAGAAGAATTTCGAAAGACATGCCACTACATTTTCTACCCAGGCATCAAAGCCCACAGCATCTTCGCAAGCACCACGTAAATKTCTTCACTGTGATGGAAATCATGATTTAATCAAATGCTATAAGTTCCGAAGTATGCCTTATAAAGAACGAAAGGAATTCACAAAATCTAAAAAACTGTGACAATTGTTTGAATGAAGGACATTACGCGTTTAAGTGTAATCAATCTGCAAATTGTTTAGTTAGCGAATGTGGCAAGCGTCATCATTCCCTTCTACATCCACCGTTAAAAGCTCAAGAATTACCAAGTCCTAAAGATCAAGCTCAAGAATTACCAAGTCTAAAAGATCAAGCTCRAAATCTTYCAGGTGGTCAAGAAAAAGTTCAAGATCATCCAGGCCATCAGCAGCAGACCTCATCTAAAACACGATTATTGTATAATTGTGGAGCCATTAAGGTGACAACTGGAAAGACAAGAGTATGCCTAAGCATTGTTCCAGTTCGTGTTCGTGGAAACCAACGGACGTATCATTGAAACATATGCCTTTTTGGATAATGGTTCAGACGCAACCCTTTGTCTGAACAGTCTGGCAAAGGAACTTGACATGATTGGTAAGCCTACAGAGTATACTCTTACTACTTTGAATTCTGAGAACGAAGAGAAATCTTGTATGGAGGTAGAAATGATTGTAAAAGCCTTGAAATCTGACGACCAAGTAAACTTAGAGCATGTTCTAACAGTTGATAGACTCCCTATATCTTGCGATGTCCCTACAAATGAAGAATTGCAAAACTTGTCTTATCTGCAAGATATTGAATTTCTAAGGCTCAAAGATGGTAAGGTATCTATTCTCATTGGAAGCGATACGCCCGAACATGGCCAGAAATTCCGGACATTTGAGCCCGGAACGAGTCAGCGGGTTTTCCCACCAAAATAGAGCTTTCTCAAGTTCCCTTGAGGTTTGAACGTTTGAAGAACAAATTTTCTACTCTTAACGATCCTTTATCTTAATACAATACTGGGCTAAAATCGAAACGTTCAAAACATCGACAAACGAGTATTGGGATAGCACGCTCTGATCCTTGAGTTCATTAGTGGCTTGTAAGGTGGTCGTTTGGAATGTTTATAGTGTAAATAATATTGTTTGCTGGAACACACGTTTCCCTCAGGTATTTTAAACAATGATCATCAGTTGATATTGTGATCTTTTGTTTATACTTGTACATTTGTAAGGAATTTAAAAGGTCTGACATTGTTTACGCTAAATAGCGTAGACTTGATCTTTCGTTCGTATTTCCCGCTATTTACCACTGCGCGCAAGGCGCCAGTAAAAACCGCCAAAATTAAAGTAGTCCTAGTCTGAAAGCCACGTTTCTAAGGTTTATTTTGGTACCAAACATGGCGTATAAAATGAAAAGAAAATGGAAGATCGAGGCCAATTATTCGCGTGAAACACGCGTCTTCGCCAGCCATTTCACCGTCAAGTTAGTTTTTGTACGATTTCTAGTACCAAAATGGACGCTGTTGATCGTCTTCAAAATAGCTGAAAATCGCTGTGTTCCTACTTCAATATGTGGACTTTGAGAAATGATCTATGGAATATCAGTGAAATGTAAAGGAACACGATCAGCCACGGTGAAATTTCGCTTCTTCGCGAATTTTCACCATGAGATACAAGGCCAAAGGGAGACGACGAA